GTTTAAGCAAAATGGATGCACTCTTCTAACTATCATCCGGAAGTAACTTAAAAGTATATTTCTAGAAGACGAAAATTCGAAATCAATGTATTTTGTTTTTGTAAAATGTGCGTTCTCGTCTGACAATCGTCCAGAAGTGTTTCTGACGTGGCGTCTGGGGTGATGCGCAATAGTTTTCTCTTTTAAATGTTTGAAGGGTATTTGTGTTCAACACAGGGTTTATGTTTTAGGTGTGTGTGTGTGTGTATGTGTGTGGGAGGATGTATGAATGTAAAATGTTGAGTACTTATTTGAATTGTTGTTTTTAAATACTTTAAAATTATTGTGGTCGTTGTTGTTGTTTTTGGTTTTGGGTTTCCTTTGACTATTGCGTAATTATTCTCATCTTTTTGTGTTGATTTTATTGTTTTGCTTCCTTTCCTTTAAATTTGCTGTCAATTGTTTTTTTTTTATGCTTTTGTTCTTTCTACTTTTCTTTTACACTTTTTTTTGTATTTTTAAGTGTAGCCCATCAGCAAAAGTTTTCAGTTTTTCGTTTGTTTTTTGTGAGCTTTCTAAAGCAATTGTCTTTATTCTCATGGTTAGTATTTTGTTTCATTTTTCGCCCAGTTTAATTGAAGTTTTAACTGAAATTTAATTGCCATCAAATGTTTAAATATTAAATTTGTCTTTTTACAAACCATAAAACTTAATTTCCTTTTTCCACATAGAAGACAAACACCACTAGCAACCGCCACAAGGCTGGCTCATCATCAAGTTTGTGTTGAAAGCAAACGATGACACTGCTAGAAGTTTGTCTATTTAACTAAACTGTCTATCAGCCATTTATTTTGCTTTCGAATTGTGAAAACTTCTTTATTTGTTTGATGGCATTAATGTTGCTGGCGGCTGGTGTGTGTCTCTTGCAAAAAAAAAGTGAAATGTTGCCTGCTATTTTAACGTTTATAATTTATTTAAAATTCATATTTCTTGGCTTTTTTTCATAATTTTCTAGACGACGTCATTTCTCATCTTTCTTTTGTGACTAAAGTATCTCTTGTAGTATTTGTGTAGAGTGTCCTTCCAATGAGCTTTTTTTCTTTGCTCGTTTAATGCTTTTGACATCAATTGTTGTTTTGTAATGATTTTTATTTTTTTTTTTTGATTGCGTTTTTCTTTAATTTTCTGTTTTTATTTTTTTGTTATTCCTATTTCATTAACCTCTTGACTTTAAAAAATTGTCGTCTTCACTTGCATTAGCTGAGGAGGTAAATGTCAAGTGGGAAGAAAAGCATTAAAAAAAAACAATAGTAAATATACAATCTGTCTATATATATATAAGAGTCGCGTTACTGACTTACTGATTCATCATCGCACAGCCCAAACGGCTGAACCTAGAATCATGAAATTTTGACAGAGACAGTAGTTTTTGGTTATGTAAATCCACTAAGAAAATTTTGGAAAATTGTACATTTAGAGGTAAAACTGGGATTCTTAATAATATTACCTAATATTAGTGATACAACAAAAATTTTAAATGCATCTGTATCTACTCCTAAAATCAGCCGATGGGTGTTTGGTACTTTTTTGAAATTCGTACTTTTGAGGGATAAAAATGTGTAATAAAGATGATTTTGGTACCTTTTTTGGCCCTTTATAACTTTTTAACTAATAAACATAATACAATTTTTGTAAATATTTTGAACATATCTTCCAAAATTATGAGACACCTGTTTCGTACTTTTTTAAAATTCAGTCCAATTTGGGTGTAAAAGGTACTTTTTTAGCACATTAAAAGTTTTTCGACTTACTGACGTGTACCTATTAAATTACGTACTAATCCTTTAATATTTATTGAAACAAAATATTTGCTATTTCACTGGGGAAAAAAAGTACCAAAAAGGGGAAAAGCGGGAAATTTCATTTATTCAAACTCATTGCGGCAAATTTTTAAAAAATAGTTAATTTACTCACACAAAATATACTATTGGTATATTATTTTGGAATTCGGGTACTAAGCCCTATATAGGATCAAATTTGGGTAAATTTTTTGGTACTTTTTGAAAGCACAGTTTTTCTGGAACAAATGAATGCAGATTTGAATAGTTTGAGTTTTATTTGTGATATATAGATTTAAACACGGAAAATGTTTAAAACTTAATTCTAGAAAAAGTCTATTCTAAGGCGAAAAGAGGGAAAATGGAATTTATTCCCCTTTTGGTACTTTTTCTCTCTTCAAATCATACTCTTTGTATGTTCTATAATATAAATCTAAAACACGTGATTATTAAACATACTAGGTCCATTTTGAATAAGATTCTTTAAGAGAGAACTATTTAGTACTTTTTATCTCTCAAATGGTACTTTTTGAATTTTCTAAAATATTCAACCAAGAAACATAAATTTGAACATGCATGGTCCTAACTTAATAATAATCTGTAAGTGGGGATTCTTTAGTACTTTTCCATTCTCAAATTGTACCTTTTGGATTCTCAATAATGGGAAACCGAAACACATGACATAGTGTCCTTATTAAATGAGAATTTATTGAGAGCGATTTTTGTACATTTTCGTTTTTCAGATGGTACTTTTTGAAGTTTTTACGATATTGAACATAGAAATATAAAATTTAACATGTGGAGACTTGAGTGAATGAGAATCTAAAAAAAGGGACTTTTGGTACATATTTCATCAAATTATAAATATTTATTGAATTTTCTTTAGCGAATGCAAATTTATTCACATTATAAATGTCGATAATATTGAACATAAAAAACAAAAACATTCAACAAGTAAGAAATTATAGTCGGGCGAGGCCGACCATATAATACCCTACACCAATTATAAAAATAAATTGTGACTTATTATTCATAATAAAGCATTTAAGTCTCACATATACTTTAGCCATTTTTTGTTGAATAAAATTCATATTTCGAAGTGAGCTTTGTATAGGGACGAGGGTCAAATGTAGCCCCATCATCAAAAAATTCATCAGGGTCATGAAGGCTGGTATAGAACTTAGTTTAGCAGCTTTTAGTCGAGATACAAGTTTATTGAACATAATAACTTAAAAGCCATATTGGGGGGTTAAGTTGTATGATGGCTAAGTCAAATATTGGACCGATGTTACCCATTTTCAATAGGATTCGTCCCTAGTACAATAGATGACCATGTGCAAAATTTTATTGAATTATCTTCAAAATTGTGACCTGTACTTTGATTACAAGGTTTACAAGCCCTTTTCGGCGGTTCAGTTGTATTGGGGCTAGGTGAAATAATAAACCAATCATAACCATTTTCAATAGGTTTCGTCACTGAGACAATGGAAGATCATGTACCAAATTTGAATTGAATTATCTTCAGAAATGCGACCTGTAGTTTGATTACAAGACTTACATGGACGGACGGACAAACCCACTAAAGTTATGTAGGCCATAATAAAAAACTTTTAATCAATTAAAATTTTCTATTAAAGTTATAAAAATTTTGTATATATTTAATTTTGGTTAGGGTAGCGAAGCACCCAGGGTATACTACTTATGTATAAGGTAAAAAGTAAAGTGAAAATAAATACAATTTTGTATTACCATTTGCATTAACTATTGGAGAATAAATATTTGACATTTTTAATCATAATCCTTTTATGTATGTCAAGACTAAAATGTTAATTAATTGTATCTTAGCATGATGTTCGGCGGGAACATCAGCATTTTGAAGCCACCCTTATGTATGTATATTCATAAGGCTTTGAAACATATTTTAATAACAATTAAAATTCCTAATTTTCAGTCATATCCCAAAACATAGAATCAACAATCCTTAAGAACAAAACAACCAATTTATTTATTATGCGATCAAATTTTTAAAGGTCTTATGAGCAACAAATAACAAAAATGTTAAATGCCGCAAAAAAGCGAAAAATATTGAAATTTCCTTAAGAAAAATTATACAGCAACATACAACAGATGACGCCGTTTTTGGAAGTCAAAAGTTTTTCAGTTGATTTTGTTTTATTCTTTACAATTTGCTTCACTTACTTATGGTGAAAAGAAAATAAAACAAAAAAACATTTTTAAGTTTAACCCTTCAATTGAGCAATTGTTTTTAGTCACGCTACACAGAGGTTGTGGGTATGTGGGAGATTTCTATACTGCTAAAAATATAAAACCGAAAATTTTTTTTATAATTTTTGTTGAATTGAAGCCGAAGGAAAAGCTGTGATCGAAAAGAGCTTTCGTATCACGAAGTCCTAAATCGAAATTTAAGATTTTATGTTCGATTTGGAAAAGAAAATTATGAATTTGTATTAAGTAGAGCGCATTTGCAATTCGTTTTCGCCCCTCAATTAGCCCCATTTTCATGTTACACTTTCCTTACATACCATTTTCTTCCATTTTTTTGCAAGTTTCACATTCCTGACAGTTTAAATAATTTTGTTTCTTCTCTAAATTTGGCAGCGCAAACTTGTAACTGAAAATAAAAGTATTATTTAACTTTACAACAACGAAAGCTGTAATAATAAAGTAGAGCACCCTCATTTATATCCTGTGTGTAATTATACACTTTATCTTTATCTGCGAAAAAAAAGAAAAGGATACAAAGTAGAAAAAAACCTAAAACTTAAAAAAAAAAGAAACCGAAACGAAATGAGCTCGCGCCGTCTAAACACGCATATTTGCCAAAAAGGAATGTGTGTCTGTAATTTGACTCTAAAACTCAACAACAAGAGAAAAAAAAAATAAAAGAAATTACTTCAAATTAAGTTAAAGAATTATTTCGCTCTTTTGCTTCAACGTTTTGTGCGATTTTTAATGAAAAATAACAAATTCTACTAATTTGTGAAAAAGAGTTAATAAATCATTTGGTGTTGGCTGCTGCTCTAGTTTTTTTTTCGGCATTCTTGTTTAAATTGGGTTAAATTTACAACTTCTTATTAAATGTTTAATTTATTCCAAAGATTTTTATATTCTTTTGTGGTCTTTAATTTACTTTGCTGGTGTGTTTAAACTTTTGTTACTTACCTTTTGGCAAAATCATCAAATTTAAAAGTTTTCTCGACCATGCCATCATCTGTTAATAGGGTGGAGGGAAAAAAAATAAAAGAAAACAAAAGAAACGAAAATGGCATGAGTAAAAAAAAAACAAAAAACACAAGTTTTCTACTTTTCTTACCTGCAATTTCTTCATTTTCTTCATCGTCATCATCGCTGCGTTCGAAATTTTCACCATCATTTTGGTCATTTTCACTGGGGTCAACTGCAAAAAAAAAAAAAAAATGAAAATGGATTTAAAATCGTTATCAATTAAGAAACTAGTTTCTGAGATTTTTTGTTGATCAATTTTCGAAAGAACTTTTATAAAAAAGGAAAAGCCAATCAAAAAGTATTGTTCTAAAAAAGACTGTCAAACAACAACAGAATTAGAAAACGAAATCAGTTAAATTGAAGTAAGTTTAAAGCTGCTTAAACTTTGTTTAAAAGAAGTTTATACAACAGTTAGGGGTATATGTATGTGTAGTATAAAGTATTTATACCCTACACCACTATAGTGGGGAGTGTATTATGCGTTTGTGGTGATGTTTGTAACACCCAAAAATATTGGTCCTACACCCACCCTAAAGTATACCAATCGGCTCAGAATTACTTTCTGAGTTGATTAAGTTATGTCCGTCCGTCCGTTTGTGAGTCCATGTAAAACTTGTGTACACGCTACAGGTCGCAATTTTCCATGTAATTTAATGAAAATTGGCACATAGTCTTCTTTCGACCCAAGGACGAAGCCTACTGAAAGGGACCGTACCCCCGAAAAGGGCTTTTAATTATATGTATTATATTAAATCTTGTAGAATCTCTACAAAATTTAACAAATCTTAGTTTTATATAAGTTTGAATGATACTGCCGATTTTCATAATAATAAGGCCTCATTTGACCCTAGCCCCCATACAAAGTCCGCTTCAGAAAATGACTTGAAGGTGGAAAGTATCACATTGAAATTCTGCATTAATAACTTTGAAGTCATCGTAAATCGCTCTACCAAAATTTATACGAATAGGACCATATTCACCTTTACCCCCATATAACCCCTCTTTCAGACAATCACTTTTTTAATAACAAATTGTTAAAATATTTCGGAATCAAGGAAAAATGTTTTATTATTACAAAAATAATCCACATTTTTAACATACTCACTGGTGCAGGGTATCATATAGTCGACTATGCCCGACTATACATTCTTACTTGTTTTAAAACGGTAAAATTAATTTAATTTTACATGTGGGCATATCAAAAAAATATATATCATTAGATAGGAAATTATATTTAGTAAAAACAAGTAGTATAACTATATTTAAACATTTTAGGTCTCCTTGTTTCACATTAAGCACTACTATATACATTTTAAACAAAAAGCTATAATATTTAAATTTTCTCCCACCAAAAACATTGATTTAAATCTTTAGCTCAGTCCAGTTCAACTGATTCAAAAAATAAACAAACATTTTTAAACTGCTTTTGACATTTGTAGAAGAATAATAAAAAAGAGAGAGTCAATAAACCAATATATTCTGCATGACAAACAAAGCCTGTCATGGCAATTTGGCAATAATACGTTAGATTTCAGCCATAGACATATAAATATTTTTTTTATTTCGCAAAATTAACAAAAATACTTATACAATATGCAATAGCAATAACAACAAAAAAATTAACTGCAACATACAGCCATAAATACCATTATCATCATTTCTATCAACAAACTTACAAACACACACACACACAGAGGCTGTCAGACCGACATAATATGGGTGGACTTCAAAAAGTATGAAATTTGCCAAATACTGTTAAAGTCTTTTAGACATTTAGACTTGATGACAAGTACAACAATACATAAATGGGCGCATACTTATACACTTGTAGACATTTTTAAAGCATGTAAGCACTAGCGATAATGCATTAATTTTATTTATTTTTTTCCTGCACTCTACTTTGTAGGCGAATCTTATAAGGTTGTTTATTGGAATGCTATTTTTCTACAAAACAAATAATTGCAAATTTCTAACAAAAATTAGAATTATCCAAAACTGATCTAAAAAAAGGCATTTTTTTAAATTTTGTAAAAAATTATTCCAAAATTTTTTTATAGATTTTTAAGATTTTTAGCAAGAAAAAAAAAAAACAAAAAGAATCTTTGAAAACGAGAACGTTCTATGTACAAAAAGAGAATTTTTCATAACTTTCTAAAACTAAATTTTATAAAAATAATTTGAAAATTTTCTATAACAATTTTTACAACATTTTCTACACAAATATTATCTTTCGAAAATTTTTTGAAAAAAGAAAATTTTTTGAAAATGCTTTAAGAGAGAATTTTTGAAAATTTGCTATAAATACAGAAAAAGAATATAAGCTATAAAAATTAAAAACTAACTAACTAACTAACTAACTAACTAACTAACTAACTAACTAACTAACTAACTAACTAACTAACTAACTAACTAACTAACTAACTAACTAACCAACCAACTAACTAACTAACTAACTAACTAACTAACTAACTAACTAACTAACTAACTAACTAACTAACTAACTAACTAACTAACTAACTAACTAACTAACTAACTAACTAACTAACTAACTAACTAACTAACTAACTAACTAACTAACTAACTAACTAACTAACTAACTAACTAACTAACTAACTAACTAACTAACTAACTAACTAACTAACTAACTATCTATCTATCTATCTATCTATCTATCTATCTATCTATCTATCTATTATCTATCTATCTATCTATCTATCTATCTATCTATCTATCTATCTATCTATCTATATATCTATCTATCTATCTATCTATCTATCTATCTATCTATCTATCTATCTATCTATCTATCTATCTATCTATCTATCTATCTATCTATCTATCTATCTATCTATCTATCTATCTATCTATCTATCTATCTATCTATCTATCTATCTATCTATCTATCTATCCATCCATCCATCCATCCATCCATCCATCTATCTATCTATCTATCTATCTATCTATCTATCTATCTATCTATCTATCTATCTATCTATCTATCTATATATCTATCTATCTATCTATCTATCTATCTATCTATCTATCTATCTATCTATCTATCTATCTATCTATCTATCTATCTATCTATCTATCTATCTATCCATCCATCCATCCATCCATCCATCTATCTATCTATCTATCTATCTATCTATCTATCTATCTATCTATCTATCTATCTATCTATCTATCTATCTATCTATCTATCTATCTATCTATCTATCTATCTATCTATCTATCTATCTATCTATCTATCTATCTATCTATCTATCTATCTATCTATCTATCTATCTATCTATCTATCTATCTATCTATCTATCTATCTATCTATCTAACTAACTAACTACCTAGTAAACTAACTAACTAATTCCTTTAAGGAATTATGAGATTTTTGCCAATCCTTAAGTAGGATATCTAAAAATCGTCACATATCACAAAAAAAGAAAATTCAAACGTAAGAAAACTTTATAATACAAACACAGACAATTATGGATATAAATATAAATATGGCTAATGTAAACCAAATAATAGATAAATTTTGAAATCAGAAAATAAAAACTGTCCACCTACTTACTAAAATAAAACTTGTAATGAATTTTTGGCACAAACAGAATAAACGAAAAAAAAAAAACGTATACTCTATGTACATCCAAATAAATGCATACGCCTAAAGGGCGTACACCAGGGCGTATTCATAACAAAAATATTGTATTATTCCTATTGCAAAAAAAGTAAATTAAAGATTAAATTTCAAATAAAATATAATAATATTATTTTTAGTAAAATAAAATATCAAATATTTATTTCTTCATAATTTTTTTAGATTAATTCTCAAAGTTTGCTTTAAACTAGTGTTTTATTTTTTATTGTCAGGGTGATATCTGTTTCAGTATTATTATTTTGTCATATTGTTTTAATTTAAAAAAAAATATATGTTCTTTTTATTGTGTCTGTTTGTGGAAGTTATCTCACATTTGTTTTATTATTTGTTTGTTTATCCTTGTCTAAAGTATCAATAAAAATTTAAATTATAATTTGACAACAATAGCAAATTGAAAATATCGAAAAAAAAAAAATCTCATACTCAAAATTCTAAATATCAGAGCAAAACAAATACAAATATGGTTATCAAAGAAAGAACCCTACAAACATTTTCTATTGCGGAAGTTACCCGTGTGAAACTTCCAAACGTGCTAAAAGCTCGCCAGCGATGTTGCGGAAGTATAAGAATTCTTGTCACCAGTCGGGAAGAACTGATGCCGAGCTGGGGAACGTCTAATAGTAACTTGGAAGATACTTCTGGAAGACCCGCAGAAGAAACTTCTAGATGACTCTTGGAAGTAAGGTATTGCCAAAGACTCTTCTAGATGTGACTAGGAAGTCACTTCTTGAAGTGACTACCTAGTATCCTCTAGAAGTGTTCCTATCTTATCTTCTAGAAGATGAGTTTTCTCTTCTTCTAGAAGAAGAGTATTCTCTTCTTCTTGAAGATGAGTATTCTCGTCTTCTAGAAGATGAGTTTTCTCTTCTTCTATTTGTATACTCACCAAAATAAAATCTATAAAAATAAATCTAAATAAAATTAAATTTTATAGTTTTTATTGAATTAATTGAAATTAAAATAGTAGAAAAAATAACTGATTTAACAACTAATCTAAAAAAAGTAATATATGTACATTAGACCGACTCACAAAAACTGGTGCTTGAGTTACCCCCCTCATAATATTCGCTGTTATGTAATATGATGTTACCCAAAATATTTTCGGTTAAGTGTTGTCCATTCGTGAGCTGGACAGTTTTAAAGAAAATATCGTATGGGAACACGATTCTTCATGTTAAATTCAATATTTTATCCAGCTTCAAAAAATCTTTGTTATGTTTTATAATGGTTCCCAAAATATTTCTAGTCTATCGGTGGCCGTTCGTGAGCTGAACCGGTTACAAAAAAGTCCCTTTTTAGTTATTTTGTTTTAAATTATACAGCATTTCTTAAACAATATATACAGTATGTGGTATCATTTGAAAGGTTTTTTGAAGCCAAGTCTAGTGGTGCGCAAAATTTGCAAAATTGTGCATATATTTAATTTTTCTTAGTAAAAACCTAACAATTTTAAATATTTTGGAATATGACAATTATAAGCAAACGGTTATTTATGATTAATACATCATTGGACG